GTCCACCAGAGCCAATGGATGAATCTGGTGCTGGGGGGCCTTTGGCCTGCACTCTTTCTGGTGCTGGGCGCTCGCAGCAGCGAATGTGCCTTTGGCCGAATGCGGGGATTCGGGCCAGAAATTGGTTGGCTTTCCTGTTGGTGTTCCAAAACAGAAGGACACGGCGCCCCTGAAAAAAACACCGAGCGGGACTCGTGGAAGTATGGACTTCGTCGCGGGATTCGCAGCTTGAATCTGCTTGGAATCTGCCCATAGCCGAATCAGTTGTTTCTTTCTTCTTCTTTTTTAGCATGTTTGTCGCCTCACCTTCTTTCTCACACAGGTGAGCCTGGGGAACGGCGTGGATCGTGGCCCATCAGGCTGTTGCTTACCTGACATGCAAGCTCAGATTGGCTTCCTGGTTTGAGTCTTAGTTTGGAGAGCACATCAGAGGCCACTTTGCCTATTTATGCAGCCAGTGAGTCCGCAAGTGTCAGAACAGGGGCTGTCCTTTTGGATCCCTTTAAAGCAACCTAAGAAGGATACCCTCAAAAAGCGCATGCTCAGCAGAACAGAATTAGTCCATCCTGCTGAGAACACTGCATACCTTCAAGCGAGACTTGGGCATGTCCTCGGATCAGCAAGTTGAGATGGGTGTTTCTTTGATTCACGGAGTCGAATATGAGCCGCAATCAGAACCCGGGTGCATGAAGGTTAGCAAGGAACAGTCCCGGCCACAAGCAGGCGCGGATATCCATAACACTTGGCTTTTCTGATGTCGACTTAACTTGGGCTTGTGTCACCCCACCCATTCTCAATACACAGAGCCTTGCAATCACATGCAGAGCCATCGAGTAGAGACTGATCGGTCGAAGGGGTATCACTCGTTGGAGCTTTCAGTTCGTGGCTCCTCCGCATTCTCCTGGAGGTGATGTTATATCAAGCGCAATGTGAGTAGATGACAGGTACGAGTTGCGCATGATGCAGAAGACTGGTTGTTTTTACTTCCGCGCCATTCTGCCTGAGCCAATATGTTGGGATAAGCCTCTGGTGCCGCATGGCTGGTGATTGTTAAACCGCTTTGTTTTGGGCAGGCCGCATGATACCAGGATTCTTGCTTGGAAGATGTCAAGCTCCAACATGTCAGCTTAGCGCCAAGTTGCGATGTCACTGGATCCCCAAGTTGGTTCAGCGACTGGATGACCAGATCAGTTGAGGTCAGCCTTTCCAGCAAAGGGTTGTGCTTGGCTTCTATGGAGGATACGAGTTTCCCCATAGACACAAACTCGCAACATATGTTGGCCACCTTTATATTGGGTGGAAGCAGATGGCATAGCCTCCCAATTAGGTTTCAGCATCCACTTCATTTTCAGGGATGCCTTTTTGGGTTCCATGTTAATTTCCGGGGAATAGTCCAAACCACCAACTAGGGCCTAAACTGGCACATCATCCTCTTCACTTGCGGACAGGGAGTAGTGCCATCTACTTTCAGGGCCGCAATGGCGCCGCTTACCTTAGGCCTGGGCCGTTATGCCACCAAGCGGCTGCTGTCCCGCTATCGCCCGGTAGAGTCTCCCTGATCTGTGGCTGGCGGGTGCGATGTGCGGAAGTTGTTTGGGGGCGTTTGGCCTCCAGAACCTCAGGATCACCTGCCTCTGCCTGGTTGATTGGGGGTATCTCAGTCTTTGTGTGTGTGTGTGTTTGTTTGTGTGGTTCTCTCTCTGTGTCTCTGTGTGTGTGTGTGTGTTTGTTTGAGGGTACCCTTTTCAGCTTGGTTTAAAGCATGTTGGGAGAAAGTGCAAGCCACAATGCCTGGAAGTTGGCATGATGCCACTTGGCCGTTACCATTTACTCCATGCTTCATATTTGACATGTCTCCAGATTGGATTGACACGTTTGCAGCTCTTGTAGCAGTGGAGGGCATGTTGGACTGGCGGCCCGCTACTCTTGTATGACTTGACAGCTTCGATTGTTCTTGATCGCCATCATGTTACATGCTTATGTTGAAGGGCCCATGACTGCAGGTTCACAACCAAGGAATTGTACCTGATCTAGATTCGGTCATGAGGTACATGAGCCTATGTCAAGGTGTTGATCACTTTCTTTCTTTGTGCACTTTCGTTAATCGTTCATTATGTATGATTGTGCTTGTGGTTGCGCTTGTCTTTGTGCGTGGCTGTGTGCTTGTGTTTGTGTGAGGGTGTTTGTGTGTGTGTGTATGTGTGTGCGCGCGTGTAGCAACGTGGCTGCCGCTGGAATATCTTCTTGGTGCAATGATGTTCAAATGGGGGGCGCCAAAATAATTGTGGTTACACCTTTTTTCACGCCAATCGCAGAAAAAGATGGGTCGCAAATGCGCCTGCCTGCCCCTTGGGACATGAAGAGTTTGAATCTTGCGGAGAGTCCCGCTGGATAGAGGCATCGGTTCTGTGTGCATCATAAAGGTCTCTCAGAAATGGGAAAGGGCCCCTTGATGCCAGGCATTGCCTGACACTTCAGCATATGTCTGCCTACTTGGTGGCGACACCGACACCGATTGTGTGGTGCAACGAGCTTGGCAGTCTAATGTAGGTCCAGTACTTAGATGCTTCTGTTCGGGTCCAGGTGTTGCAACTCCAACATTTTGCCAGATTCTATGACCACTTGAAACCCGCCAAGCTCGGCAAATCCGATCGCAACCTCATTTGGGGGTTTGGCCATTAGGGCCGATTTGGGGCACATCCCGTGAGGGCCATATTCTTCCTTGGGCATTTCTCATTTCATGTTGGTGAACAATTGCGAGTAACACGCATTTACATGGCTTGCCCAAATTGTGACTTACCCATTTCCTGCTGGAAACCTACGGTAGCCGTTTGATTGTTACGCAGTGAAATCATTCAGACCGCCTCAACAGCACGCCAACCTGCCTCTGTGCGAGCTGTCTCTTCGGGCCGAATGTTTGCACTGCTTGGGAGCTGGGTCGATTGCACGTGTGTGTGTGTGGATTTGTTTTGAGCGCAGTCTGTTTTGAGGGTGTTTTTCGGGGAAGCTGCAAGGATTCTTTGAGTTGCACATCTGGGTTTGATTACATAAACATCACCATATAAATCTATAGGTTTGATTTGAGACACGCCCCCAATTGAAAATGTTCACCAAGGGCCCAATTGAGCTTCACACACGTGCGCGAATCTGAGTCTCATCGGCCTTTAGCTTAAGATCTGTGGGGTGTGTCGGCTTTCAGTTGGACTTGAACGGGGTGCCTGGAATTGACCGAAGTGCCTATATTCTTTCATACTTCGGCATGTGGTGGAACCCTGGACCACTCAACTCTCGGCTTTGTTTTTGGTGGGGATGAGATTCGGCGCAGTGCTTCCATAGGCCGGCGTTAGCGTTGATGCGAGAGGGGGAGCCCTGCTTTGTGCATAGCCCCTTTAAAGGGGAATCATAGCGACCGCCTCATGGGGTGCATTGGCAACCGATTTCGGGCATGATGATTGGGGCGTCCAATGCCTGCTTCAGATTGTTGAGTGATTATTATCAGTGCTGCTCGCGTATAACGAGAATTAGAAAGGAGACCTGGCATTCTTAGGGATCCAATGCTTAGGGCTCTACTTACTATTTTAGAGACACTCCCAACTGCAAGTGGCAGTCACCTTGGCCGAAGTTGTACTTGTTTCGGCGGCGTGCGCATTGAGCCTTCGCGGTGGAGGATCTCAACGGACGAAATTGGGACCTCACCGACCGGAAGTTCACGATCTTACCCCTGAAGGTGTGTTACCGTTCCAGGTTGGCTGAAAACAAGACCAAGGAAACCGGGTCCAATTGTTTCTTTCTTTGCGTTTGTTTCCTCTGTTTTTTTCTTTTCCTTCTTTTCTTATTTTGTCTCTGCGATTTCAGAGATCTCAGAAAATGTTCACTTAGAGCATCGCAGGTCCTGCTCAATACCCGCCAGAATCGCATGAAGCGCCAGAAGGGCTCCTTTTGGGCTCCATGTTGATTTGTAGGGAGTACAAGTCTGTTGTCCGGCCGAGGTGAGAGTTGTACCGTTGGATTCTTGCAAGAGAGCTTTCAATAGTGTTTCAGCCTGGTTTCAGATTAGACGCTGCGTGTGAGGGCGACTTGAGCGAGAAAAAATGGCGAATTGCAGCTGCGGGCAATATTTACTGTCATGCACTGAGGGAGTTGCATGGAGCACACTCACCAAGTTACGATAAGATATGGGGATTCTTTCAAGATCCACTGTCAATTGGGGACCCGACTAATATTAATTCTTCCTTTGCTGGCGGTTTGCCAATCACCAAGTTGGAACCACCTTGCGGATGGCGTTTACCGCAAAGACTGAAAGGGCACCCATTGTAGTTGTTACAATTGCCTGGAGTCTCCTCGGAACATGTTCTATGAAGGTTGCCTACATTGAATATCATCAAGAAGTGTTTTTGTTTTGTTTTCTGGCGTACCCCAGAAGTTCCCTGACGGCCTTCCATTTGCTATGGCCTCAGAGAAGTGTCGAATTTGTTGTTGTGTCTAAAGCCTTTGCAAATAGAAGTCACCACGTCCGCGATGATATCTTTGTTTCCGGTTGTTCCCTGTTGGTTTTAAAGGGATATGGTCTTGCCTGCCAAAGCGCCGCTTCTTGGGACTGCATTTGCCATGGCCCGAGTATAGGAGACGCTGGCCTTGGTGCCTCACATTGAAATTGAATCGAGACCTCACGGGTTTCGGGAGATGGCACGGAAGTGTTTTCCTTGGGGCCATGTTTTGGGCCATGTTTTGCTTCTTCAGCTCCTTGGTTTCCCATGAAGCCCCCATGAGAACATGTCGCTTTCATGCAGGCTCAGAGGAGTTCCTGGACTTGGCCCCTTTCAGGAAGGGCATTCTAGAGGCAAGCAAACAGTTTGGACTTCGCCAATCTGAGGTGAGACTCGGTGCTTTCAGTTATCACTGTAGAACTTAAGGCTGGTGTATTTGGGTTTTACGCGATGGCTTCCCCTGGTTCCTTTTGTGGCTTGCCAGGTTGGGGGAATATGATTCCTGGGCACAAGGTGGTCGCCGAGATCGTGGTGAGCGAGCTGCGCGAGGGGCGTGGGCCCCATGTTGCTCTGGGGACTCTATAGCCAAGAGGGGTGTTTCTAAAGATAGGGGTCCTCCTTCTGCATGGTTAGGAGAAACCAAAAGGAAATCAACCACCTGAAGGAATTGGCCCCTGATTTTGAGAAACATTTGGATTCAGGGGGGGGCGTGAATGATTTCAAGCGCAGGGCGTTGACACCCTTACCAAGGGGAGAACCCTTTAACTCATAAGCCTCAACGACCTGCATGGCGAGCTGCATGGCATGGAAGGTCCATTTCCATATAGGCCAAGCAAGCTATCACTGGACGAAAGAATGCGCAGGAGTCCTCCTGAACATGTCCAGAAAGCAACATCACATGAGAACCTCCAAGGGGCACTAGATTTAAAACGTGTTGAGACCACTTTAGTGGCAGGTAGACAGTTGGGACTTGTTTTTGCCAATCCACTTCGGAAGTGAGTACACCATATCAAGCTCTTCTAGGTCCATGAAAGGGGGGAGGTCACAACTGTCCCGGTATGACATGTTCAGCTGGTGTCAAAAGGAATCCACCAGAATGGCAGACTTCCTATTTAAGCTCTACATATTTTTGTGCCCACCCCGTGGCAGATTCCTGCCTTTAAACTCGCACCGAAACCCTGTCGCGCACCGGGAACACTTTTTGTGCGTCCTTGGGCTTGCAGAATCGTATCTTCTACCCTGTTTGGCTTGTAAGGCAGCCAATAGCCCCTAGATAAATGGCATACAACCTCCCTGGGTCAACAAACATACACCTGAACATGCCTGAGTTGGTGGGAGGAACTGAGGAAAGTTCAAACTCCCATTTCTTCTTTGTTATCATCATTGGGCTTGTGTTTTTGAGAGTCCCCTTTTTCGGCTGGTTTCAAAACACACTTCCAACAGAAAAACCCGCCATGGGTCCAAAACCATATCAAGACACACACACACACACATGCAGGTGTCTTTCTGCCGGGTGCCTTATGTTTCAAAGGCTTAACTTACAGGAACATCTACAGGACATGGCCCCAGAACACCCTAATTTAGCTGTTTTCCAGCCCTTATGTTAGGTCGCCTTGGCCTCCTTCCCATCGCGGAGGTTGACCCCTCTGAAAACCGCCCAGCCGCCGCTGAGCAGCGCAGTGCAGCGAGTGCAGGCGGTGAAGGTGCGGGGTTTAGGTGCCGGGGTTAAGTCGACCCAGCTTGCGTCAAGTCGACTTAAGTCACATAAAAAGCAAATTGCATCAGGATCACAAGATGTTCATGTTTGTATTCAGTTTTAGCCCTTCATGTTACACGCCTAGCCTGTGTATGTCTATCCGATAGTTCACAGCCGCTCAAAATGTGCCAGCCCCAGACTGGCTGATGCTCCTCGTTTTCTGCTTGAAAGGACGAACATGGGGGGTACCCTCCTCAAGACTTGCACAATTCCAGCCATACCCTAGACTTTATTGCTTTTTGAGTTCCAGATAAATTTGTGCCATATCCCAACTAACAGTTCAATTTTAGTGCCTCCGGCTCAGGCCGCCGACATTACAGGCCTGCTTTCTTATTTGCGTCCCTTTGGAATTGTCCCCTTGCCCCCTTCCCCTCTGAGATTTTTGCCCCCCTTTCTTTGTTGAGATCCATTCCCCCTTTCCGCCCGAAGGCCTTTTCTCCCTCTGTTTTTTTCCCTTTTCCTCCCTAAGATGTTTTCACCCCTCTCCCTGTTGAGATCCTTTCCCCCCTTTCCCCCCTAAGGCCTTTTCCCCCCTGAGATCTTCTCCCTTTGCCTCCCTAAGATCTCCCAGATCGTCTCCCTTTCAGGGAGAAGATCTGGGAGAAAAGGACTTAGGGGGGAAAGCCCAACAGGGAAAGGGGGGAAAAGATTTAGGAAGGAAAAGGGAGAAGCTCTCAGGGGGGGGAAAGGCCTTAGGGGGGAAAGGGGGAAAAGGATCTCAGCGGGGGGGGGGAAGATCTTAGGGAGGAAAGGGAGAAGATCTGGGGACAAAGGCCTTAGGGGGGAAAGGGGAGAAATGATCTCAACAGGGAAAGGGGTGGAAAAGATCTTAGGGCGGAAAGGGAGAAGATCTGGGAGAAAAAAGGCCAACAGGGAAAGGGGGGAAAGACCTAAGGAAGGAAAAGGGAGAAGCTCTCAGGGGGGGGAAAGGCCTGAGGGGGGAAAGGGTGGGAAGGATCTCAACAGGGAAAGGGGGGAAACAATCTTAGGAAGGAAAGGGAGAAGATCTGGAAAGGCCTTAAAGGGAAGGGGGGAAAGGATCTCAACAGGGAAAGGGGGCAAAGGATCTTAAGGAGGAATAGGAAGAAGATCTCAGCGGGGGGAAAGGCCGTAGGGGGGAAAGAGGGGAAAGGATCTCAACAGGGAAAGGGGGGGAAAGATCTCAGTGAAAAAGGGAGAAGGTCCCAGGCAGGGAAAAGGCCTTAGGGGGGAAAGGGGGAAAGGATCTCAACAGGGACAGGGGGCAAAGGATCTTAGGGAGGAAAAGGGAGAAGATCTGAAAAGGCCTTAGGGGGAAAAGGGGGAAAGGAGCTCAACAGGGAAAGGTGGGAGAAGATCCTAGGGAGGAAAAGGGAGAAGATCTCGGGGGAAAAGATCTTGGGGAGGACAAGGGAGAAGATCTCAGGGGGGGGAAGGCCTTAGGGGGGAAAGGGGGGAAAGGATCTCAACAGGGAAAGGGGGCAAAGGATCTTAGGGAGGAAAAGGGAGAAGATCTTGGGGGGGAAAACGCCTTAGGGGGGAAAGGGCGGGAAAGGATCTCAACAAGGAAAGGGGGGAAAAGATCTTAGGAAGGAAAAGGGGGAAGATCGCAGGGGGAAAAAAGGCCTTAGGGGGGAAAGGAGGGAAAGGATCTCAACAGGGAGAGGGGGGAAAACATCGTGGGGAGGAAAAGGGAAAAACTCAGAGGGAGAAAGGGCCTTAGGGGGGAAAGGGGGGATGGATCTCAACAGGGAAAAATGGCAAAAGATCTTAGGGAGGAAAAGGGAGAAGATCTCAGGGGGGGAAAGGCCTTAGGGGGGAAAGGGGGGAAAGGATCTGAGCAGGGAAAGGGGGGGAAAGATCTTAGGGAGGAAAGGGAGAAGATCTGGGGGCAAAGGCCTTAGGGGGGAAAGGGGAGAAATGATCTCAACAGGGAAAGGGGTGGAAAAGATCTTAGGGAGGAAAGGGAGAAGATCTGGGGGAAAAAAGGCCAACAGGGACAGGGGGGAAAGATCTAAGGAAGGAGAAGCTCTCAGGGGGGGAAAGGCCTCAGGGGGAAAGGGTGGGAAGGATCTCAACAGGGAAAGGGGGGAAACAATCTTAGGAAGGAAAGGGGGGGGGGAAGATCTTAGGGAGGAAAGGGAGAAGATCTGGGAGAAAAGGACTTAGGGGGGGAAGCCCAACAGGGAAAGGGGGGAAAAGATCTTAGGAAGGAACAGGGAGAAGCTTGGGGGGAAAGGGGGGAAAGGATCTCAACAGGGAAAGGGTGGGAAAGATCTTAAGGAGGAAAGGGGGGGGAAGATCTTAGGGAGTTCCTCCCTAAGATCTTCCCCCCCTTTCCTCCCTAAGATCTTTCCCACCCTTTCCCTGTTGAGATCCTTTCCCCCCTTTCCCTCCCAAGGCCTTTCCCCCCCTGAGAGCTTCTCGCTTTTCCTTCCTAAGATCTTTTCCCCCCTTTCCCTGTTGGCCTTTTTTCCCCAGATCTTCTCCCTTTCCTCCCGAAGATCTTTTCCACCCCTTGCCCTGTTGAGATCATTTCTCCCCTTTCCCCCCTAAGGCCTTTTTGCCCCAGATCTTCTGCCTTTCCTCCCTAAGATCTGGAAATGAAGGGGGGAAAGGGGGAAAGGATCTCAACAGCGAAAGGGGGGGAAAGATCTCAGGGAGGAAAGGGAGAAGATCTGGGGAAAAAATGCCTTAAGGGGGAAAGGGGGGAAAAGATCTTTGGGAGGAAAAGGGAAATCTTTCTCGGGGGGAACAGGCCCTAAGGGGCAATCGGGGGACAGGATCTCAATCGGGAAAGAGAGAAAAAAACTTTGGGAAGAGAAGGGTGGAGATCTTGGGGGGAAAAGGCCTTAGGGGGGAAACGGGGGCAAGGATCTTAAGCGGGAAAGGGGGGAAGAGATCTTAGGGAGGCAAAGGGAGACGAACTCAGGGAAAAGGACTTAGGGAGGAAAGGGGGGGAAAGATCTTTGGGAGGAAAAGGGAGAAGAACTGAGGGTGGGAAAAGGCCTTAGAAGGAAAAGGGGGGAAATAAATGATCTCAACAAGGAACTGGGGGGGGTTCACCAGCATAGGCAACATCCCCAGCATCACCTGCATCATCCGCATCCTTGGCAGGCGCTGATGCGGATGATGCAGGTGATGCTGGCGATGTGCCGCTGGAGCTGCTAAGGATGCGAAAGCGCACCCGGGGGGAATCACATTTTGTGGTTCCACCTGTTAAGACAACCCGCATGGGTTTGTCCGAACAACTGGCCGGAATCCGGGCATGCAACGGCGCAACCGCGTCTCGGCAGGCGCGGAAGCTGCCGCAGCACCTTCACCAGGCTGGGTAAGATGTCGCGAGACATGTAAGTAGCTCACAATGTCAGGGTTTTGGGAATGAGGGGGTCGTTCCCGCTTTTGTGATAGCATCGATCCTCCCCTTTTGGGTCAAGAATTAGTTCTTGGGAAGGCGTTGCTCAAAACATGAACCTGTCTGACTGATGGATTCGAATGCTGTTAATTTCCGATCTCCCAACCCAGAGCGCCGGAGTAAGATACCCTGTCCCATGCATTGCATGATGGGTTCCGGAACAGTAAACCCCTTGAGTTTGACTGCAGCCCTCCTATTTCAGAGGGATCCAACTCACTTCGGGAAATAGTTGTAGCAAGTCGTCCAGAAACAGTGGATGGCCCCCCATGTCTTTCAACATTCTTCAACCAGTGCCCGGGTCTCAGAGAGTATGGTGTGTTTTGCGTGTTGACCTTTGTTCACCGAACTTGAATGTACCCCAGTGTTGAGCCAAGTTTTGTTGCCTCATTCTATGGTGGCTCCCTTATGTTCCTCGTTGTTCTCTTGGCTTCAGCTTTCTTTGCGTGAAAGATTGGGGGTGAGAGCAGATCTCAGGCCAACAGCATCTTAGAGTCCCTCCGCGGTTGGGGCACCATGCCGGGAACTACCGCCGCAGCCTCGGGCGAGTTCGCTTGCGAACCCCCCCCCCAACAGAAAAACTGGGTTCCATAAATCACTTTTGGAGGTGGTTTCTTGTTAATTCAGCCACCATGCAGAGGAAAGGATGAACAACCTGAACTGTTTTATCTCCAGGAGATTCTTGGATGGGTTGTATGGCCAGAGCCAGAAGCAGAACCGATCCCTTTGTGGAAAGCTACTTACAAGGTAGTCTATGACGAGCTTTCAGGGTAAAATGAGCTCACCAGCATATGGGTCCCTTACTATGGAACCTATATTTCAGGTATTGGACTTGAAGAAATTGCGGATTCATTTCCCATTTTGCGAGAGTTGACACAACATTTGCCCTGATCGGCAAGGCTTCATTGACGTTCAGGCCTACGGGACGTCCATCGTGCACATTTGCCTCAAAACCCCGAAACGCGGCCCGTTTTCCTGTTGGCTTCCCTCAAAACGAATCCCCAATAGGGGGTTCCAACCCCAAATCGGACCTCTGCAAAGTTGGTTCCCCCCTCTATCTCCCTAAAACCAACACATTTGACATGGGGGGGGCTAAATCATCAGTGCTCTCTTACCTTTCAGCTTGAGATGCCAGTCTTTGATTCGAGGTGCCGGCCTGGGTGGAGCACCTCAAGGCTTCGATGTTGTGGGGCCCAGGGCCGATTTGGCTTTCGGGTGAAGGGCCGTCAAGGGGTCTCACCCCTACAACTAGAACGGGATATTCAGAATTATTTTGTGATGTTCAACTTGTGCGAAAGGTTCAGGGTGGATTTTCTGGTTTCCCCAAAACAAGGCCTGAATGACGGGGGGTAGCAAAGTGGGGTCCTTAGGCGCATTTGGATATTCGGAGTCCTTAGAGGTTGCTTAGAGGCCGTTGGCACCATTAGGGCTCGGGACTCATCCAGCAATGAATCTGCCAGTCTCAGCGGAAGCACCAAGAAAAGAAAGAGACCAATACAAGAATCGGTGAGCACAAAAGTTTTGAGAAGGTGGAAGTGCCGGACCACAACTCTAAGACTACAACTTGAGACATGGGTGGTTGCCCAAATGGGGGTCCCAAACATGGTGGCTTCCCCTTTGGTTGTCCAAAGACGGTGGCATTCCCCACCTCTTCGTTTGTTTTGTGCGGTGTCTCAAGCAAGGGGCATCAGCTATTCTCCCATGGCGACAGGCCATCAAGGGGGCCACTGTTCCCTCGGCTCCCGGCCATACGGCTGATCTGTTTAGAAAACGCGGAGGGATTGATGACATGGCCCAAGACTATGTTTCTTGTTGCCAGGGCTCCACCAACCCCCCGAGTTTTGAGAAACAAGCCGAACGGCGGAAGTTGGGCTTTCTATACCCCAAATACAGGTGGGGGTGCAGCCCAACCTCTTTGGATTCTTGGACAGCCGGCCAGGCAGTTGGACCTGGAGGGCTATGATACTACCAACTTTGAGAACCAAACCTTGGTGGTTTCAGGCGGATTTGTTCCAAAAGGGGATGTCTTTTCGTTGGACCCTTTTGTGATTCTGGGGGAAATGAGGGGCATCATCCATCCCGGCGGTTGATTCGAGCCACGCTCGGCTTTCCGCAGGCGGACAGCCCCCTGGGCCGCAGGTGGACCAAAGTGGCCTCCATGGACCTGTTCGCGCGCGAGCCAGGCGCCGGTGGCAATGGGGCGATCCATCACCGATCTGGGAGAAATTGTTTGCGCGCGCGCGTGTGTGTGTGTGTGGTGGGTGGGTGCGTGGGTGTTTTTTGTTCTTTCATCACCTTCAAAGAGAGTACCCTCAAAACACACATGTGGGAAGTAGGGTTAAGGGAATCCCACTTTCTGCGAGTGGTCAAGGGAATCCCCTTTCCAAAAATAAGATAGTTATGGGGATGGGATTTCGATTTTAGTATCACAGATTTCGGGTATTTCCCACAACCATGATAGACACCTGGGATATCCCCTTGAAAATGAGAGGAGGCCATTTTTGTGTGATTTGCAAAGGGTGCTTCCCTTGATTGCCTATAGTAATGACTTGGGCAAAACAGACCGGGCAACTGGTTGCCATCGTATCCTGTTTTGGTTTCAATGGAAACCAAAGGGAGACCAGGTCACCTTAGGGGTTCATATTAAAATAAAACAGAATGAGCTTGGAACCGATTTGGGGAGCTGGAATCATTCCCTCCCGATGTCTTTCGTTTTTACAATCCTCTAGCTTCCAACGTGCAGAAAGGGCCATTACCTCCTCCAGGGATTTTGATTTTTCTTGGGCTTCTTGTGTTGAACGCGGTTTCCTCTCTCCACCTTGGTTGATTCCATGCGATCGCCTTGTTTTCAGGGCTGCTTATATTCCCGTTGTTTGGATGATTTTGTGCATGGCGGTTTCAAGGCCAGTTCAAAGGGTTTCTTCATTGCTCTTTCCCTTTCAGGAAAGTGACAAGTCCACCGAGCCGAAAGGGGCCCATCTGTTTGAGTCCACGTGACTTATAAGTCTCAGCAGACATACGTATACCAAGGGCTTGTGAACATTCATGTTTGACAACACAATCTAAATGATCACATCGAACAGGCTGTGTGCATCATATCCGGCGGAAGAGTTCTTAGCATTAGGCGCAGTGATGTTTGGTGCAAGATCCATCCTGAACTAGAATATATGTTGCCAGATTTGTAGATTACAATTATTCTGATCTGACGCTATTAAATATGGCACTTAGTGGCAAGGCGTTCTTGCCACATTCTATGAGACCAGGACAGTATGTGTCCTGCAAAAGTCTCTCCTCAGCAACCCTGATGGTGCAGGAATTTCAGGAGCAGTTGTCTGACCGCCCGGATTGATGCTCAGCGTTTGAAGACACTGTCCCATCGATCGGTGTGCTGAATCTAGACTAGGCTTAGTTATTGAATGCATGAAATTCAGCGCATCCTGCGCCCTTCATGCATCAGCCCAATGCCAACTTGGCTCCTCAAGAAGCAGGGATGAGCTAAGTCCCTTCCCCACTCAAACATGCAGCTTCCACAGACTCACAGAGCGCATGCTCACAAAACGGAGACACGCCCAACAAATATACTGTACCTAAGTACATGACTCCCAAACACGAAGGTTTCGATGAGCGCCTTTGTAGGTAACCAGGCATGTTCCTTTAGTCTTCCACCCTGAGTATCAGAAAGCACCCTCCATTGGAGGGGCTGGGATCTCCGTAAGATTTCTGAACGGCATCTAGGTGGCCGAAGATGCGTAGGGTAATGGTGGGGGTGTCTTCTCTTTCAGGCTTCCCTTTGCGGGGTTGGCTTAAAGGGAAACAAAACGATATCAACCATTTAGCGGGTCCCCTCATTTTAGGACAACCCCTGGCTTTCCCTTTCACCGCGCGAAGCGCCGAATCCCTTTGCAATCAGGGCTGCTGTACCGCGTGCTGCTGTTCTGCGGCGAGGTTCGGGCGCCGGGCATGATATTGTATCCCGCGTGGAAGTGAGCCCAGGCACACGATGATGTGCTTTTGTCCCTCTGTTTGGGAGAGGGGTCTGTTTGCCCAAAGACGGCAATACGGGTGTGCTTTTGTTAGTTACTTTGGTTCAACGGGAAACCAACAGGAAAAGCTTAATTTTGGGGCTCCCACCATTCTGACACATTCCCGAATGGTGACATATTTGAAAGAGGCGGACTGAAATCCCCATGTGCATGATGTCCAATCCCCAGTTGAAATTCATGCCGGATTGCCTTGGGATAGCCGTTGTTCCATGCGTAGCCAGACTCTAACTTCCACGTGTCACAAGCTGCCTCGTAGTTACTTGGAGAAAGTACAGGGGCAAATGAAAGCCATCCAAAGGGTTTGGGTCCTAAGCCAACAAAGCTCCATGCCTATAATATTTGCGTCTTTTTTCGTGGTTCTAAAGGAACACTCACATGACAAGCACCAATTTATGGGTCCCCTAAAACCAAGACACCCCAATATCAACTACCCAGTTGCCCAGTGGCGCCCCTCTTTTTCCTGTCTAAACAAAACTTTGGATGCCACCAACTCCCACCAATTTTGGAATGCCCCTTCTTCCCATGAAAATCCACCGGGCATGTGAGACGCAGGTTGTGACGCTGGCGCGAGCCAGCCTGAGCTGCTGCTGCTGGCGGGGGTTGCTCACTGCGGTGGGGCGCCCAAACCCGGGCCGCCGGTTTTGGGAGGGGCACGTCAAACGGGATGGGCTCCCTACATCGCCCGCGATTTTGCGCCATTTAATTATCTTGTCGGGCGGGTCCCCCAACCAAACACAGTTGGGGGCTGATTTCCCGAAACCGCCCGAGATTTAGAGTTTGAGGATGTCTCCATTTAATTGATGCACAGGCTTTATCATGTCGACCCTGGAATGATCCACCTGGTATACTGTGGATGAACAAAATCCGCTTCGCACGCCAACCTATGAGTACCCGCATAGTCCACCCAGTGGTGCCGGATTGCGTCCATCCATAGTAGGGGGATTGTTTTAGCAAAAGTAACGAATTCTCTCTTAAGCGGGACAACCCCCAAATCCCAGTTTACATTACATGGTTCTAATATGTTCCAATGGCTGGTTTAGTCAAACTGAGTAAGCCTGTCCTCACGCCGGCAGGACCAGTAGTCACTGGGCTATCTTCAGAACATATTGTATATTTTAGGGTTGTCTGACTATGAAACAGAATGGGACAACGCTTGTTTCCCACGGTCATGAAGGGCCCTGCAAAACCAAACCCAATAGGAGCAAACAGAGCCTAGTAGTGCCTTATGCCTGGTCAAATCCTCATGGCCGTAACCCAAGCAATGGTCCGCTTTCGATCTAAGACCTCCAAGCCGCAGCGTCGACTCTGGAGCTGGGCGCGGCACTCGGACGGCCGGTCTTTTTTCCCCCCTGTTTGGCTCACTGGGCCTCAGCATCCCCCATGGTTTTGGTGCAACCCGTTCGGAACAGCCCTGTATCGGCTTCTGTTTTTCTTTCGGACCCGTATTCTTACCTTGGTTTAAAGGTAAAGCAACAGTAAAGCCGATGTTGCGAGTTGGGTGAAAGTAGGGGGACCCGAAAAGGTTGGCTTTCCTTTGACTTTTCGTTTAAACCAGAACAAATTTGTTCTGTTGGGACGCTTCTTGAGCTTGCTGTACTATTACGATAAGGATGAGCCACAAGTAACTGTCACTTGTGGAGTCCCGGCGTCCCTTGACACCGGAAGGTCCCAACAGGCAGTTTGAAAGTGTTTCATCTTTCCTTTCAGTTCAAGGAACCCAGATCAATCTAGCTAGCTGACCTATCGGACCTATCGCAATTTCGGGGCTTGAAGCGATCTCAAAGGTATTTCCCTTCATTCTATGTGAGGTTTGCAATTTTCCAGCAGTCTATCGTTCATTTGGGAGGAGCTGTCAGAACTCACTAAACTTCCCCGCAAGAAACTAGGAGACTCACTGAATGTCCCATTCTTTTCTTGGGGGCACGATGTTTGTTTTTCTCTTCCAAACTAGTTGGTCACACCCTACAGGCCCCCTATATTTCTGGATTGGCTGTCTTACCTTTGGGCCATGTTCAATCAGTGCCCTTTAAGTCGGTTGTTGTTTAATGCGGACATGTCGGGACCCCTGTCACGCCGTGGATGGACAAAATCCTGCACCAACTGGGATGGGTGAAGCCCTCTTGTGAATGCTGGGACAACCCACCTACCAACTGGTATAGGGTTTTGTCCCTCCGCAGCACCACTTGGGTTTCTTCCGCAATTTCAGTGCGGGGTAGCTTGGGGGTAGCTAAAACTATCTTTCAGTACCACTTGGGTGTTGCTCAAAATCAACTGCTTCAGGAGTTTCCCCTTACCATCCGACCTCGAAACAAACAGAAACACAAATGGGGAAAGTCAATACCCCTATCTTGAGAACCTCAGACCTGAATATGCCCTTTTTCATTTGTGTTGGAGGAGGCGTCCCTGCAAGCAAACAACCAGCAAAAGGGTCTTCTTTTTTGTCCCATGGCTGGGGTATGTGCTTAACTCCACTGCTATTGGGTTGGATCTTTAGACTTTAACTTTTTGGTTGCCCCTCGTATTTCCTTGTAACCTGCAAAAGGTTAAAAGTTTTTGCTGGGAGATCTACAGCACTCAAGTTTCCGAGCAAGGCCTTGTTTCTGTAGTGGGATGAGGCCAACTACACGCACACTGATAGTGGACCAGGAGGTTCTATGTACTTAAAGGAGTTCAATCCGGTTCGAGGGAAGCCGGAAGACCCAGCCAAATCTCGTGGCTTCACTCGCGGCTTCACCGGAGGCACTGCGTCACGGCGAAGGGCCCTCGGCAAAGCAGCGCCGGGGACGCAGCGCGGATGAGCGTCGCTTTCTGGGGTTTCCTTTAGTGAGGTCTGCGCTCCGCTTGTTGGAGGTGTGCTTTTTCTTTGGAAAGGGGCGCCTTTAAAGGGGGTCCCTTGGTGGGGCCTCCAAAAGAATTTGATGTTTTAGGATAGTCGAAATATGAAGCAGAATCTGAGCACACCCTATTTTCTCTCTACCCTATAGCCAAATTTTGGGTTGAGACAAACCCACTTGTTGCCTGCAAGTTTGGGGTCCATTGGGACAGAATTCGGCTGAGCCACTTAGGAACGAGGCTCAGTTCATATCGGTAACTTGGGATGGACATTGAGGTCTTTAAAATCCCTACTGGGGTAGCCGTTTTTGATCGCTGCCCCAATTTCCGTTCGAGTTAGGGAACCAAACATACACCGGAGACACACCAATGTGCCGACACAAGTGGCACACGCGTCCCGGACACTCGGCGACACAGCTTTTGACATCTTTTGACGACTGGATGGCCATAGAGCTCTGTGACAATCTCGGAGCAGAATATGTCGCTTCATTCAGTGGATCAATATGCTTTTAGGTTCCCCTAACCAAGGCCATGTACTTAGTGCGGCCTGCAGACGTTAAGACGGTGCTGGGTTTTTTGTACACTCCATCGACATACACACATGCTGCAAACTGTTGTGCCTTCAAGATGCTTAGTTCCAAGCAGTTTTTTTTGTGGGGGGGACATTGCTTGCAAGGTCTCGTGCTTCGTACCGGGCCATGGGGTGCGTTCGCAAAGTCAATGGCGAGGAGTTAATGACAGAGGATGAGTTTACAGCCTGGCGAAATGCACCGCACCTGGGAGCCTTCAGTGAGGTGCTGAGGCATCATTTGGCCGAAAAGCTGCGGGTGAAGAATTTTCGGACGCTTGCGCTGGTTTGCGGTGACCAGATGCTGGGATTGGAGAGCCCTTGGGTTGATGCAGAGCTGGTGGTTTTGATCCGGCCGTATTTGCACTGCACAGATGAAGACTCCACATGGGAGTTGCTGCAAGCAGCGCGCATTGGCGACGCTGCGAGGGTCGTGGACTTGTTGGAAATGCCAGTGGACCCTGACGCTAGTCTTGAACACCGTACAGCTCTGCTGGCGGCTGCCAGTTACGGCCATCAACAAGTTGCGCAGTTGTTGCTGGAAGCCGGTGCTGACAAAGACAAACCCCACAATGGAAATGGCGAACGGACGCCTTTGCATTGTGCTGCCTTAGGTGGCCATCGCGAAGTTGTGCACTGCTTGCTGGAAGCCGGTGCGGACAAGGACAAGCCCGACATCAACGGCAGGACGCCTTTGTATTGTGCGGCCGACTTTGGCCGTCAGCAAGTTGTGCAGTGCTTGCTAGAATCCGGTGCTGACAAGGACAAGGCTGACATTAACGGAAGGACGTCTCTGCATTGTGCCGCCGCGTTTGGCCATGAGCAAGTTGTGCAGTGCTTGCTGGAAGCCGGTGCTGACAAGGACAAGGCAGACAACGACGGAATGACGCCTTTGCATCTTGCTGCCAGGTTTGGCCAACAGGAAGTTGCGCACCGCTTACTGAAAGTCGGTGCTAACAAGGACAAGCCTGACAGTGGCGGATCCACGCCTACGCATTGTGCCCCACACGCCAAGTAGTGCCTATGTCACTTTTGTTTTGCGGGGGGGTTCCCGTTAGAACCAACTACCAACCAAACAGGGTGCCATTTGGCTGTGGGCCAAAATTCAGTACCCCAAATGGAACCCTGGTAAGTGGAAACATGGAGCAAAACCTGCGATCCCCCTGGTGGTTTAATGTTGACCCATACCCATTTTATTTATTTTTCAATTGGACTTTTTCGGGCTTCTGAGGTGCAGCCATGTTCGGCCATCAGGAAGTATTGCGCTTCTTGCGGAGCGGCGGTGACAGTTACAGAACGCTGGGAAACGTCAGCGGCTAGCGTAGAGCTCGGGCTGATGGAAGCAAATGTGACGTCTGTCTCTCCATGAGGTAATCCGCCCGATGCAAGGCAACTGAAAGCACATGTAACTTGCCTTGTCAGAGCTGCAGAATGACGCTGTGACCCCGAGAGAGAGAGAGAGAAAAAAAAGTGTGTGTCGTTAAAATTGGTTGTTACTTTGCTTACAAGTGCAAGTGCTGTAGTGTTCAAACAAACAGTCAACCAATGTAGTCTGCAGCTGCCAACCTTTTGACTCATGCGGAGTAGTAAGCTCAAGGCCTGCGGTAGTGAACATACATGCAACAAGGGTGCAAAGTGAAGCATGTAGTTTGACACGGCCCCTCAGTTAAAAGGTCTTTGTAGTACCTTTTCAACTGAAGTGCAAAACATGGATTGACAGTAGTGATGAAAACCATTGTTGTTCATCAATTCTACTGTATTGGCAAAAGTAGTGACCTGCGCTCAGTAGTTCACGCTGTTCAGGTTCCAGCTCGATGTAGGGCGCTGGACGGAAGTAGTGAAGGCAGGCACTCGTTGTAGTAGAGCAGGAGCTCAAAAGTGTAGTACCCAGTTCTGGGTGCGGTAGTCTTGGACCTTCTGTAGTCGACTGTCCAAGGTCGCGTAGTAGTTGGTGGTGAAAAAGTTTGTCATGTAGTTTGGAGCTCCCCGTAGTCGCTCATCGTCAATCTCGGGACACGACATGTGTTGTTCGTAGTCCCGTAGAAAGCGGTGTAGTAGTGCTTTGTGGTGTTGTGTGAGGTTGGTCATTGTGAGTAGTGTGAATCCGTAGTATTGGATGCTTTTGCAGAGGATTGTAGTGATTGCTTTGTGTTGGTAGTCGTGGAGTTGGTCTCTGTTGTAGAGGTAGTGGAGTAGTTCAGGTAGTAGTAGTGGCATGTGGAAATTCCAAACGTAGTTGTTCCTGAGGCTGTAGTTGTCAGTGAAGGTGGCCATGTTGTAGTTCACCTTGAAGATGGTCTGTGGCAGTGTTGTAGTCGGGAGGTAGTAGTTGTGTTGTACCGACATCATGTAGGAGATGTAGTCCCTTGTGAAGTGTAGAAATTGTCCTGAAGTGAGGTACCTCAGGAGTAGTTGTTGTTCAATCTGGAGTTGGATGATGACGTAGTTGGTGTTGTCGCCAGTTGTAGTGTGGAGTGAAGTCGTGTGGTAGTAGTGGACATTGGCTGCTTCAGGTAGTGAAATGCTGAGCAGTGTGGAATTGTAGTGTGGCATCCGAAGATCTCCAGGGATGCAGTGAATGGGTCGTGTGTAGTCCAGTTGTGCCAGTGGAGTAGCTTGTTGTTGTGAGAGTAGTTGATACTCTTCAAGTGTAAATGCAGTGAAAAATTGCGTGTAGGGAATGTTGTTGGCCAGTGGTGGTGCAGTGGTTGTCTGGTGCTCAGTGATGTGTAGTTGGTCCATCACTGTGGTCGGGTTGTAGTAGACGGTGTTGCCAGTGTAGAATGGTTGAAGTGGTAGTTGAAGTCGTTGTAGGTTTGAGGTGGTGGAGTTCCATGGTCACTGGAGTCTGTAGTGACCGCCACCTCAGGTGTAGTCGCCCTGTCGGGCGTAGTGGCGTCTCCCATCGTAGCATCTGCAGTAGATGGAGCGGCCATGGCTGCAGTGGAATGCAAAATGTAGTGAAACGGGGCAAAACAAATGAGCCTAAGTAGTTGCTACCAGGCAGTCGGCGAATGCAGACGTGTAAAACAAACAACTGTAGTGTTGACTCAAGCCGCCAAAAGTGCAAGTGAAAGTACATGTAGTTACTGTTACTTACATACCAAAAGTGTCGTGTTACATGTAGCTACTTACATACATGAAATGTCCAAAGTCGTTGTTGTTGTTGTGAAACTGCTGCGCTGGTCGTTCGTAGTGCTAGATGCGTATTCCAATGCTCTGGATGAGCCTGTGTAGTGTTTCTTTGCTGATGTATTTGGTAAACAAATCTGCGCTGTTGTGGAGTGTGTTGATCTTAAGGATTCTGACGATGTCGTGCTTGATGAGGTCTTGTGTGTAGAGGAATTTGAGGTCGATGTGTTTCGCTCGTTTGCTGGTGCCTTGTCGTGTGGCAATGCTCTTGCCTGCTGTGGAGTCTGTGTGGATGCGTAGGTTTAGCTTGCTGCAAATGTTGGTTTCAAGTAGGAAGTTTCTGAGGTGTAGTCCCTCATTAACTCCTGTGCAAATGGCGTAGAGTTCAGACTCTGCTGAGCTAAGTGCTATTGTAGCTTGTGTTCTGCTGCCAAATGCAACTGTTGTTCCTAGAAAGATGATGTTGAAACCTGAAGTTGATTTCCTGGTAGTAGGGCATCCTGCCCAGTCGGCATCGACATGAACGTCGAGATCCAGGATGTTGTTGGTGTTTGCTCTGAGTGTTGTTGTTGGTTCTATGGTGAATTTGTAGTGCTTGGTGCCGTGCAAGTAGCGTAGTAGATGTTTGACTCTCTTTTGTGAAAGTTCTGTAGGTGCTGTGAGGTCTCGTGCTAGTTCTTTTGTGGAGTATGCAATGTCTGGTCGTGTGTATGCTAACCATTGAAGTTTGCCAACAATTCTTCTGTACCTTTTGTGTTGTTCGTGGTCAAGTAGTGCTTCATCTTCTATTGTTGGTTTGTAGTGTGCAATTCCTGGAGTGTTTCACTGAGTTGCAGTTGTTCATTCCAGACTCCTCGATCATGTTGTCGATGTAGGAGTCCTTTAGTCCAAGATTGCAGTAGTTGCCGAAGTGGTCGATGTTTCTTCCAAGAAATTGTTGTGGTTTGCCAGGTTCGAGGTAGCCGATGTGCTTGAGTAGTACCTGCTTCTGGACGGCCTCGAAAGTGGAGTCGACTGCGGTCTTGTCTCCAAGTACTAGTAGATCGTCCACGTAGACCATGATGTAGCAGTCGCGAGTCGCATTGGTGTAGACGTTGGGTTCTGACTTTAGTCTTACAAAGCTGAGCTTTTGTAGAACTTCAGCCAGGTAGTCCTGCCATGCTTTCGGTGAACTGCGTAGTCCATACATGGCTTTCTTTAGTCGCCAGATTTTGTCCTGTTGTGGACAAAGTTCTTTAGGTGGC